TAAGCTTTCAGTCTTAGAACATGAGACCCCTGGAGTAGGTACTTGAACATGAGTTTTCTGTTTGTCCCTGTGGGGTTTGAGGGCTCTGTAGTTTGCTCTGAGTAGTTCATATCATTGCTGTGAATTCAGCTGAAAATCGTACGTCTCTAGACTTAATGGTGAGAATATACCCCACGTACTGTTTGATTTCATGAACCACAGTGCAGAAATTACAGAAAATTGAAACATAAGAATGATTTATGACTAGGCAAGGAGGATGTGGGAACATAAATCAGGTAGCTAGCTAGCTACAAGTTTTATGGGAAGGAAACAAATCCAAGAAATAGAAGAGAAAGTAGAATTAGAAATAGAATACTTAAAGGCATTTCAGGGAACTCTTTTAGATGCCTACTCTGTTTCAGTGATAATTGAGTATCAGGAAACATTTTCTAATTATGCCTTTTGTGGCCTGTGGTATAGCTTTTTATAGGATCTTTTTCAAATTAGAATTGCATTATTAAGGCAGGAATTTAATTTAGGAAAGCGTGTGAAGCCAGTGTGCTCTCTGACTTTGGGTTTGTGGAGCTACTGTGCAAAGAATAAGTAAAGGATATTCCTGTCACTGACCAGTACTATTACTGATTGTAAAAATCCCATTTCTTCATTTGCCTGTGACATATTAAAAGGAGTACATTTTAATTTCTCAGAGTAACTCTCATGTTTACCATGACATGCTACACATTATTTCAGAGGAATAAACATGGGCCAGGAGATAGAATGTACTGTATTAGCCCATTTTATGTTACCTACTTTGTGTTTTTATTTGATGTACACTTTGGTTGTACATGTTATTTAATATGCTTGTCATATATTCTGTCCCTTCAGTGTGGTTATATAATGATTTATCAGAGTAGAATTTTGAATAGTTCATCATCTCATATTAACGTGTTTTTTTTTTTTATGGTAAATAGTATCTCTTTGAGTGGTGATAGGATACTTTATTTTTTAAAGATTTTATTGGGGAATTGGGGAAAGGGAACAGTGTTGGGAAATTGGGGAAGGGGAACACCCAAGTTGTTGTCCTTCAATCTCAGTTGTGGAGGGCGCAGCTAGCTCAGCTCCAAATCCAGCCTCCCTCCGGCTGCCTGTCGGCAGCTCACGGCCGCTCATCTCAAGGTGCCGTGTTGAATTTTAGTTGTGGGTGGGCATAGCCCACCATCACATGCCAGAGTCGAACCAGCAACCTTGTGGTTAGGAGCATGTGCTCTCACCAGGTGAGCCATCCTGCCACCTGTTGGCAGCTCAGCGGCAGCTCAGCTCAGGTGCAGCTCAGTGGCCCATGTGGGAATCGAACTGGTGACTGTGTTGCTCAGAGCTCGTGCTCTTAACCAACTGAGCCACTCTACCGGCCCGGATACTTTATTTTATGACTTTCATTTTATTTGTTCCTTTTCAATTTCTCTGAGTTTTGTGGTTTTTGAAAAACATGGAAATTTAAAATCTTTTCATGATTATGTGAGATTTAGTTCTGGAATGGTTTTTTTTTCCCCCCCCCAGAAGAGGACATGTAATACTCATTAAGATTATTTTGTTTTATTAATAGCTTATATTAATAAAGGCTGTATTAATATTTTTATTTTTGGCATAAAGCTTTGAGTTTGCTTGTTTATCTATGTCTTTTAAGATCTATGAAGCAGTGACAGAATCTCCTATAATAGGCTAGCTTCCATAAAATTAATTTTTTTCATTATGAAATACACTTATACAGAATTTAGAAACCATCAAAGTAGAAAAAGAAGAAAATAATAAACTTCTGCCTGAGTTTAAGTTTCAGAGATTGCTATAAATTCTAATAGGCTTTGCACAAAATAAGTGCTTATTGATGTCCAACTCCTTTTAGGGAGACTATAGGATTTTCCCAGCACTTTGACCCCCAATATTGCATTTAATCTGCTTCCTTCACAGCTAGGCATCATACTGACTCTGGGGTTAGACTTCTTGGGTAGAATATCTCTTCACCACTTACTACCCTGTTTCCCCGAAAATAAGACCTAGCTGGAAAATAAGCCCTTGCATGATTTTAGGTACCAAAATATGGCACTTAGGCATACTGACGATTTTAAGGTGAAGGAGTTTGTGGAAAAGGCACCCTTCTCCCTGAAACTGGTCATAAAACCCTTCTGTGAGGGGTGCATGCCCTCCATATCCTGGAGGAATCATGCTAGGGCTTTTTTTCTGGCTAGGTCTTATTTTTGGGGAAACACGGTAGCTGGGCAACCTTGGGCAAGTTACTTGCCTTTTCTTAGTCATCTTTTTCTTCTCTAAAATGGGAATATCATAATAGTACCTACCTCGGTTTGTTTATAAGGATTAAATGAAACAACAGTGCCTAGTTCACTGAGGAAAAAAAGCACGTTTATAAGTGGGGAAAGGAGAAAGTTGACAACCTGTATTCTACTGTAGCTATAGCTTTCTGCAGGGGGAAAAAATGAACCTAATACCCTCATTGCTTCATGTGCAGATGACAGCACTAGAATGCATGTGTGTGTGTGCTTCTATATTTGTATACACAGAGGTTTTCCCTTTGCATTTAAGGCATTTAAAATGCATTTAAATTTATCCCTTCTGTTGGCCATATAAAAATAGTATGAGGTATACATGGAATTTCCTTGTAGGTACCTCTTCCCTCACAGAGGGAAAAGTAAGTTAATTTAGCATTGAAAGTATAAAATAAACTAAAATATGTATGTGTCCTGAAAGAAATCATGATCTTTTCCATACTGACTAGTACTAATCATCCGCAGAGGCTGTTACAACCTTAATTCTTGTTTCTTTTAGAATATCAAATTTTTACTCCTTCAATAAAAATCATCAATGTTGCTATAAATTTATTGCATTAAATCTATAGACCAATTTGAGGAACCTTCATTTTTTTTTAAGATGGCCAATGGTCTTTGTTGACATATCTGCATTTATGTCCTAGAATGTAGTTTTAACCCAGTGCTTCTGTTTGTAAACCTCCTTCTTAAAATGGTCTCTCATCTCTGAAGTTGAGGATACAGAGAGGATGGCTCTACAACTAGAATAAATAACCTGTAGAAAGTGGCAGCCAGGTTGGTTATGGTCAGTATTCAAAGTGTAAATCAAAGCAGCATAGATAGTGGAAGGAGCCAGAGATTGTGAAATCATAAAAAGCAGGATTAGTCGGAGTTCAGCCTTTGATGCAAAGACTTCTCAACAAGTTACATAACTTCTGAGCCCTGGTTTTGTAATCTGTTCTGTGAGAACAATAACATCTTCCTCAGAGTTAGGAAGACTGAATTAGATATGTGTGAAATGTTTTGGAAATTGTCAGCACTGTACAGATACTTGACCTCATGGGTTTTTGTGCTCTCTTAGCTAGTGATAACCCCATGTGTTACCTTTAGAAACCCAGTCATACCATACTTCTAATCAGAACCTCCTAAAGATATGGAAACATGGCCTCTTGAATAAATGTTCAGTTTGTACCTATTTTGATATAGGTATTGTTCTAGATCAGCACTTTTCAATAGAAAAATAAAACAAGCACAATATATCATTTAAATTTTTCTAGTAGCCATGTTAAAAGAAACAGGCAAGATTAACTTTAATATTTTATTTAACTCAGTACATCCAAAATATAATTTCCACATGTAATCAGAAAAAATTTTAATGAGATTGTACATTCTTTTTTTGTACTAGGTCCTTGAAATCTGGAGTATATTTTAATCTTACAACACATCTCACTTCAGATTGACCTCATTTTAAATGCTCAGTGTCCACATATGACTGGTAGCTACTGTATTGGGCATCTGTCTCGATGTTGGGTTTGTAGCAATGAACAAGACATAGAAAAGTCCTTTCTCCCAGGAAGTTGCCTCTAGCTAAAGGAGACAGACAAGGGCTGGCCGAGTGGCGCTTTGGTTAGGAACTGGCTTGGGATGCTAGAGGACCCCGGTTTGGATCCCACATATAGGGCCAGTGACACTGCCCTCTACAGTTAAGATGCTGAACAACAGCTCGACCTGGAGCTGGGCTGCCATGAGTCAGCCGGCGCTGGCATAGGCTGCAGCCCCTGTGGCAGTGGGTTGCCATGGGCTACCGTGTGTAGCCAGCAGCCAGCGTGAGCGGCCAGCAGCTGCGGTGAGCGGCCGTCCAGAGGCCGGTGACTGATCTGCCTCTCCCGGGAAGAGCGCAATGATGGTGCCAACTTGGGCCAGTGAAGCAACGTCCTCCACAACTAGACTAAAGAACCAAAAAAACCCCAGCAACTTGTCTGTTCCCCTCCCCCAATTCCCCAAAAAAATCTTTAAAAAGAAAAAAGAAAAAAAAGTTGACTTGGGACACCAGCTCTGAGCAGCAGGGCCCGGGTTCGGATCACACATGAGGGCCAGTGACGCTGCACCCTCTACAGCTAAGATGGTGGACAACAGCTCAACCTGGAGCTGGGCTGCCATAAGTCGCAGGCGCTGGCATAGGCTGCAGCCCCTGCTGCAGTGGGCTACCGTGAGTGGCTGTCCAATGGCCGGCGACCTATCTGCCTCAGCTAGGAAGAGCGCAATGATCACAATACCAATATGGGCCAGTGAAGCAACTCCTCCACAACTAGACTGAAGAACAAAAGGACAGCAACTTGTCTGTTCCCCTCCCCCAACTCCCCAATTAAGAAAACCAAACCTATTATACATATAATTCAGTGGACCAGAAGACCAGACTTTTCTTTATATATCTGTAACCAGTCTTTGCCCCATTTTTGAAATAAACTAATATGTAAATCAATCTCTTATTGATAGGCATTTATATGATTTAGGGAAAACATCTTTTGAGTACTTTACTTTCATTAAGTATCATCTCAAATTCCAAAGGAACTCTGGTGGTTTACTTAGTATAAAGTTTTTTGCTTATAATTGCTTTATCAACAAAGTGCCTTTGAGGAGAGACTAAAAAAAATGTTTCGACAATGGATCTATTGCTGATTGTTTTTTTTTAACCTTTGGCAGACATGTGCATTGCTATTGCAATTTCTCTTCTCATGATCCTGATCTGTGCAATGGCTACTTACGGAGCATACAAGGTAAGCAGCTTTGAAATAAGGTGGGCCTTTTTCTCAGTCCCTTGCACGGGTAATCTGTGCAACTATCTGTAAGAAGTAAGATGTAATCACTCTCAGTTTTCTGTAAGAATCTTTGGAAGTTTCAATCTCTTGTTAGTATTACATGGTGCTAGGAAAACCAATATTATAGTCCGGGGCTTGTTTGTTGACTCCGTCTATTTGGTTGCCATCATTACCTGGTTTAATGAATTTCTATTCCTCCATTTAACTTCAGATTAAGAAAAGATTTCTCTGAATTAAAAAGTATGTTTTATAACTCTGAACACATTAACAAC